CTTTTTCAGTTGCACCCAGGCTTGAAAGCACAAGATTCCAGAAAGCAGAAGAAGTGTACCGGCAGGCCGTAGTGCAGGCGCACGGCGTTCTGCGCCATCTCGCTGTCCACGTGCCGCGAGGTGAGGTGGCGAAGCGCGCAGACGGCGGGCTCCGTGATCTCCTCGCGGTCTCCGGCCGACACCACGGTGCGCACCAGCGCGTCCACGCCTCCCGCCTGGCACACGGTCACCTGCTCCGGACGAGGTTCGTTAGCGTCCGGCACCAATTATTAATAGTACGTAGTGTTTAAAGGGAAATCGACCTTATTGCGCTGGTTGTTGCAGGTCAGATTGGAGAGGATTCCGGCGGCGCACGTGACGATGTTCACGTCGGTGGAAGCCAACACTTGCACCAGGCCTTGCAGCAGTTGTTCCAGTCCATCGACCTGTAACATTGAATGGAGCAAAAAATCATTATTTTACACATTACTTATTAAATCATTATTATTTCTTTCTTTCTATTTCGAGGCAAAAAAAAAATATTTGTGAAGTGATAACTTCTTATGGAAGGGTAAACCGCTTCGTTACGTATCGCGTTACGGCGCCAGTCTATCTAACTTCTCTTTCTCTCGCACATGCTCTTTCACTCTAACCCGCCGCGCTAGCCGTATTTCGGGCAGACGCTTCCCTCTCAGTGTTCATTGTGTGTACGGTTTTTCAATGTAAACGACACCGATTTGCTAGTGTATTCATTTTCATTATATTCACTTAAGTTGAGAATCTCATCTCACCCACTAGTTTAGTCAAACTCAAACTCAAACTCAAAATATCTTTATTCAAGTAGGTAACCAAGTACCTTTTGATGTCAAGTTAAATTATCGAAATTTACATTTACTACCAGTTCGCAAGTAGGTAAGCGGGTAAGAAGAATGGAAGAAACTTTCCGCCACTCTTTTTAATCGCCAAGTATTGTCATATGTTGTCATTGCAGTTTAAATAAATAATTATCTCTTTAAATATATTTATAGTTTATCCCAACCCCAAAAAGTGTGTGTTAGACATTTACTATTGACAGAGAGCATATTACCTCAAACTATTACCTTTATTAAAATATAAGACTTTATTAATAAATAACCTTTCCATACAATTTAAGTAATAACCTAGACTTTTCTCAAATACCTTAGTGGCGGCATCGGACAGATTCCTCAAAGTCCAAAGACAGTTCTGCACCAGCCGTCCGCTGGGGTTGCCCAGGTGCATGGCCAAGGCCTGCATGCCTCCGGCCTCCACTATGGCCGGCTTGTTGCTCGAGCACACGGAGAGAACCTGGAACACACAAGTTTTACTTTTAACACATATTACAAAAGTTTGTGTATCTTATGTATTATGCTATATTTCTTTTCTTTCCCACTCACACTTGATTTGCATATTAGGTGTTCCAGGTCAAGTCTTAATTACCTTAAGCACTCTGGAAGTAGTCCACAGCAGCTTCTCATAATCATAGGAGCGCATGATTCGCACCAATTCGATGGGTCCCTGAGACGCTAGAATAATCAACTTCGACTCCTGGTTTCCGTATGCCAGAATCTGCAGACAATCCGTCACGATGGCCAGGAACTTCACGTTATTCCTCTGAAGCAAAGCGACCATCTTCTGCAGCCCGCCGGCCAAACGCACGGCCATCTTTGAACCGTCCTGGTGAAGGAGTAAGTTGTGGAGGGTGGTGATGGCGTAAAACAGGACCGATTCCACCGGAGAGCTCAAAAGCTTCACCAGAGCCGGTATTCCTCCACTTTTGAATATGGCCAGCAGACCTTGGCGATGGTGAGATAAATTGTGCAGGGTCCCCACGGCTCCCTTGGTGGTCTCCAGGTCGTTGCTGTTCGAAATGGCTCTGACCAACGCGGCCACCATTTGTGGAGAGTTCATGATGGCATGACGAGACGCTTCTTTCTTGGAGAGCTGGTGGACCATCATGGCAGCTTGAGACACGACCACTTGATCTTCATCGTTAAGGAGTTTTATCAACTCTGGGATTGCTCTGAATAAAATATGGGAACAGCATTAAAATTTAATGTTTAAATTGTGACAGGTAAACATTTTGGAAACTGATATTTTTTTGCTTATAATTTTTGTATAGGTATATCTTTATAAATGATTGTACTTCTTTTAATACAGAATTTAAGAATTTAAAACCTCCAATGGTTTTTTACCTAGTTGCCAAATCTGCATCATCTTGATAGTTAATTAAGTTAACCACGGCGTGCTTCAACATCTGTGATGGCTCAGATAAACGTTGGACAGCAGTCGGTTGAGCTGGGTCCAATTGAGTCGAAGGTATCTCAATACCCTCTTCCAACGTTTCAGGGAACATTGCAGCACGGACACGCTGGGAGCGGGTCTGCGATAGCTGTTGGTTCATATCTGTAACATATGTATAATATCTTGACATTGCTGTTTATGGTCACCCCAAATATTTCACTAAACATGATACTAAGACATTATGATTAGTTAATTAGCGACAAATCTTACCATCAACTTGTTCCTGAGTGAACCCCTGTGCAAATCCTTGGTCCAGGTCAAACATAAGTTGATCTCCTTCCATTTCGTCATCTTCCTTCCCAGTGAGTGATGGCACCTAATTCAGAAGAATAGTGGTTAAAAAGATTACAGTACATATATAAATATACATTTTTCAGCTGAAAAGGATTGCAGGATTGATAAGATTTCAATTGATCAATCACCGACAATAGAATATCATACAAAGTAGATTATTATTATAGACTACATTAAAACTATATGACAAAGATTATGGCTTATTCTAGATAATGTCACCATAAATCTAACCCCACAACATGAAAATAAAACAGACTAATTTTTAATTACTTAAAATTAATATTAAATTAAAATTAAATTTATTTTGTAAATAAAATGATGCTTCTGTTTTTTAGAGTAAACCTGAGCCTACCAAATTTGTGTACTTATGCACCAACACTACATTTACAATTCCAAATACAAGTCATACCTGAGTAGCAGCCCCAGAGTTGATACCAGAATCCACCAAGTATGAGTTCTGTTGCCACATGAGAGTCTGTTGCTCCTTACTTGGAGCCATAGGCACATCAGATCCACCATAATTGCTGTGCGACACTGGAAATACATTAATTTAGATGTTATGGAACTGCAATATAGACTTTATAAATATTGTACTTAAGCGAGACATAGGCCTATTGAAGAAATTAGATACTTAAACTTTAGATTAGAATGACATAAATCAATATGTTTATGTTATTGTAATTGTAATTTTTAAATTAATGATTTTTTTAGTTCAAAAACTAAAACTATAAATTAAATTTGTTCATACTTCGTTTTTGTACCGTCAATGGTGTATCACTATAATAATCACTCACACACAACAGTTAAATACTAATTAAGTAAGAATTAATTAAAGAATCCTCTTTATATGAAATTCTAAGCTTATAAAATGCTTAAAAGAGTGCCTGCATTTGGTTATATGTATATCTTTGACTCATACAATAACAATAATTTTGCATGAAGATAACTTATGTCAAAAATTCAATTAATGTAAAATATACATGTTATACATATATAAGTTTGTAGTAGCAGTAGGACTTATTAATGTTTTAACAATTTACAGTAATTTTTAATTATCTTTTTACAATAGATAGCACAAATAGTAAGTCCTCTATTCAACAAATACTCTTATTATTTGGTTTTAATACAGAAATATGAACTATATTAGGAGATAGGAAAAGTTATCACAAACTTGTTCATGACTCACTTATCACAATATGTAATGCAACTTAATATCTGCAATAGAACTAGGTCTCAAATTGTAATGTAATTTGGATCAATAATGAACTTACTTGTCCGGCTTTGTGATGATGGTATTTGATAGCTCATGTTTCAACGGATGCAATGATGCACCCTGCGCCTAAAAATCCAACCTTTTAATAGTTTGTAAGAACAATATTCACGAAGCGGCCATAACTATTGATTTATAAAGAAATTCAATGGAAATCTTATATGTAAACTATACATCCAAATATGTCTCATTATAACTACACAATATAAAATTTAAATTGCAATACAATATAAACAAATGTTTCATTTTTTGTACGAACTAAATACCACACCCGAAGTAATTAGCGAAGTAATTTTCGAAATAGTCTAAGAAAATGAACGCACTTTTAAACAAAATAATATACCTTAGGTTTTTAAGCCGCAGGCAATACTTTTAATATAGGCCTGCCTTAAATTGCTTTGTTTTTTCCAAATGCATTCACAATTATTATTCACAAATCCACTTTTCACCACTACAAACCTGACATGACAATATGGCGACGTTGTTACATATTGTTCGTAAAATTTCGTCTGTGATCGGGCCCTCAACTCCGCTATATATCTTTCTCCTTCTTTCAAATTCAATTCCATATAGTTACCTCTGTCACGCAAATAGTGCTGGTACTCTTCGATCGTCCGGCGTGTTATTCTGCTTAACATACTACTCAACTGATGTCGCTGTCTTAGTCCAGACGTTCAAGTTAACATTGTGGGCTTAAACTTTTACTTGTAGTTTTAATAATCATCGGTAGGTAGCGTTGTTTACAAGAGTTTTTTAGCCGACTTCAAAAAAACTGAACCTGGAACTAATATTTTTAACTATATTAGGATCGCGAAAGTGCTTACAAAAGTAGTTCTTACAGAAATTATATCTATGTTAATACTGTGATTAGACAATTCAGAAGAACAAAACCTATCTAATCCAGGAAAACGGTAAATTTATGTAAAGATGCAATTACCGTAATAAAAGGCTACGATAGGATTTTAAACAGGGCCACGGGCCACCGATTTCCACACTTAACATTTAAAAATAGGTTTTTTAATATTATAGTCTATTATGAGAATTTTCTGCTTGCAAAAAAATTGCTCTAGTTGTCTGTGATCCCAACAAAAATTTAAGTCATTTTAGAATTTTCATTCTTTATTCTGAAAGTGTGATGGCTTCAAGTCTTTTTAATATATCGAGGTACAGTCGTTTTAACTTATCTGAAAGTGAGTCTGACATTGAAGTTTTTGTTAAAGAATATGGATACCGAATTAAACGCCAACTTGCGAATGAACTGGAAGGTTGCCGGTCACAGTTTCCTTCTTTTGTCGAAAGAAAAGTAAAGTCAGAGGAATTACCTTGGGTCGAAGAAAATTTTGATAGATTTTTTAAAGACTCTCCAAATGAGTGGCTCCGGAACGTAAATTATCTTTCGGAATTTGGATTTATAACTTCCATGATCTACACACAAGATGGAGATTTTCTTCTTGTTGGACATTCGACGGGACTAGTTCAGGTGGATCTCTTTGTAAATTTATATTTTTATAAATACTGAAGATTTTAATAATAATAATTAATGAGTAGGCATGTCTCATGAGTTGTTCATAGTGAGTAGCTCATGACATGTTCCTGAATTTAACAATATAAAATGTTCTTATCAATAGTCTTGTAGTAGAAACTACGTGGCCGTGACTTTATTAAAATGACGGACCACAAAGACATAATTCGTGATTATGTTGAAAACATTGAAAATTATTACGAAAATGAAAAAAATCCTGTAATATGGTATCCCATGTTCTATAGGCGTATTGTAGGGCGTCAAAATGTTTCGTGGGTAAAAGAAAATCACGAGAAGTTTATTAGAAACACTCCAAATGAGATTTTATACAATCGATGGTTTGGAAGCGAAATGGGACCGATCACATCTTTAACATTCTCTCGTAATGGATATTATATTATCGTAGGCCACGCTTCGGGAGCTATACAGGTACACAATGCTTCCGAAACTTTTAGTACCGTTATCTTGAAATAAATTATTAATCAATTACCGTCTAAAATTTGTAATATTACCTCGTTTAATCAGAATGACCCTAGTAGACTAAAATGACGGCTGATGGCGACGTGTATCTCGTTCGTTTATATTAAGTTTCTCATGTAAATAAAAATAGTTTTTTTTGTAATGAGAAATAAAGTTCTTTAAATATTAAATTGATAAAAATAAATAAATTTGATTTTAGAAGATTGTTATTTTCGAACAAAATATAATTAGGTTTATGAAAAAATTAAGCATGACGAGTGACAGACGAATATATAACACTGAAAAGAGTTATTTCTCTATATTCAAAAAAAACTAGTTTTCGTTTGTATAACCTAATATTGTATTGTTAACAACTTTTCGATTAAGATGCGACATGGCAGCACTGGCGTGGTTCTTTGTACACTTCGAAATATCCAGTTTCCGCCGAAACCAATTTACGCTCTTGAATACAGCCGCTTCGAAGAACGTGTTTGCTACGCGGCGTGCACGGATGGCGCTGTATACAGGATTGATATACCCAACGTGAGCCACAGCTTTAAAGCTATTTTATTTTGTCTACTTATTTAAAAATGCCTAGATCTTTGTTTTAGTCACTCTTTTGTGTATTATAAATAGGTTTTAGGCTTGGAAGGCGGCGGCTGTACGTTTGTTTCCTTTCTTTTCCTATTAATAAATTCCAGCGTGAATAAATCGCAGTATCCGCTTGAACTTTATTTGTTATCAACCTGGTTTAGAAGATTACTTCAGTTTGTTGCGTTCGTGTCACCTAGTAATTTTTTTTTACATATTTTCAGTAGGTTTAAAAAGGGTATAAAGAAACGATGAAAGTATTAAGTGTTTCAAGTCGTCAAGGGACCTCTTTTTATAAAATTTAATTTACACTGATATTGGTAATTCCAGTTAGTTGCATCTACGGAGGACCCACCGCAATATTGTATACGAGCTGACCCAGCACTGGAGTACCTCAACACTCAATACTATGGCGCTCCGGGAATCTCCTCAGCTGCGACCCCTTTTATTACACGTATGAGAGTCATTTAGTAGCGTTAATTAATTATGAAGCTTCTAACCTTCCACACCATATTCCATACACGTTTTAACAATAAAATAATAAATAACAATTTATAACAATATAGTATGTACTACTCCCAGAACCAACATTGGGTTCCGCGAGCCTCTTCACAGGATCTGTTCTTCTTGAATTCTGCCACTAACATCGACCCTTTTCGCATTCCTCTACTGCTTCATTTAAAACAACTATTAATGTCCTAATCCTTGTATCTTTCTTCTTTATTATAGCTACTAGCATGTTTCACGTTTTTTAACTTTTTTATTGTAAAGAGATGTATCTGTTTTGTTTCCCAAATAAATAAGTGGTACTATATGGTGATGGCGTCTGTCTTTGATTGAAAATCGCTGTCTGTTTTTATTATGACATAGGCTACAGCACGAGTGGCCAATCTGTATCATAGTCGGTCATGGTCAAGATACTGTGAATCGATTCTACTTAACATTTTTTTAATATCTTATTACAATGCGGCTCGAAGTTGAGTGGAACGAGCTATATGGAAGATTTACTGAACAAGCTTGAGCAAGTAGAATAAATATAAATTGGGTTTATAAAAATGCCGAGCGGGGTGACAATTTGAAACAATGATTGGTGAAAGGGAAAGACGACTGACGTATAAATTCAAATTCAAATTCAAAAATCATTTATTCACGTAGGTAGGTACGTTAACAATGTACACTTGTTATTCGTCATTAAAGAAATACAATTATAATGTACGTCACGTACATATGAACACGTATATAATGTACGTACGTAACGTCTACGCGTGTACCTACGAGAGATGCTGTTGAGTGTTGTGTATTCACAATCAAAGGTATCGCGCCTTTTATTTTACACTCACAACGAGCCTCCATTCCTTCCCGGAAAAATCTTCGGTTTAAAGATACTTTTAAAAAGCAAAAAAGATTTTTCCGTGTTGTAACCGTATTTTTTCTAAAAGCCCTACCGCTACCGTTGTATACTATTATTTACCTGGATTTTGTAGACAAATTTAATATCAAAATATTATTTATTCATATAAGTTAATGTACACTTATAACTTAACATTTACTGCCAGTTTAATCAAGGGCATAGAATGGACGAGAACTGGCAACAAACTCTCCGTCAGTTTTTAAAACCGGCCAGGTTTTTTTTAATCACCTGCAACCATTACATCTTGCTCCACATGCTGTTAAAATCGAACTTTTCTGGGTGAAGGCGCACGTTGGCACACCGAGAAACGAAGTGGCGGATCGCGAGGGATACCATCGGGGGACGCGAATAGGCTACGACGCGTACTCGTATCCGCTTTCGTACTTACGACGGCTAACGAGACTCGAGACGCTACACATCTGGAATGAGCGCTACGTGGAGGGCGAAACAGCCTGAGTCACAAAAATGGTTTCTAAGATGCACACGTGGCCTACAGACAAGACAAGGCGCTTCGCACCCCGTATGCGATCCTGACTGACCTCCTGATGACGGTCCCTTTGGACACTATTTACAAAGATTCAAACTGAGGACAAGCCCCGCGTGTGACTATTATGAAAGAACCAACCCAACGGTGGTTCGTTTACTTGGTGACTGCGACTTCGAAAGAGCCAGGTGTAATCTGGAGCTTGAGACTGGTACGAGAGTATCCCGGGATGGACTATCCGACATGTTGCTCGAGCACAGATCGCAGCTGGAATAATTCCGCCACAGAATTGTTTAATATGTCAGTAAGATGAATAGCACAAGCGGGGACGGTGGCTCCGACTCACCCATAAAATATACCTATAATGAGGTTGTTTTCGGAGCAGTCGTGGCCTGGGCACGCCAAGCGCACAAGACCTAGTTTAAGTAAATAAAGTCCCTTTTTAGGAAAAGGGAGATTAGACACCTGCTACTTAGCGTTTCGGCCACAGATATGCCTGATCGTGTGGTTATATTTATGCTATGAATATATATAATATACACGTTCTTACCAACAAAGCCTATTTCATTAGTGTTACTACAATTTTTTAAACACAAGACCGATCTTTTTCTCCTTTGCTGAATTCGTAGTTCACGCCCTTTTTAAATAACCCCTTTTTTGCTAAAATTAAAGAAACTGATAATATTTTGTGTATGGAGGAAAATTTGTCTAAAAATGATTATTATAGATCGATCGGCAGCGCTGTCGCTCGGTCTCAGTGCTGACGAGGCGAAATTCATTGTCGGTTACGCTGACTCATCAATAAAAGTGTACGACATCGAGACTCAAGAGGTACGTTAAGTTTTAGTATCGTCTGATTATCTAGATGGTTGAGAATCGACTTTTTCCTTTTGATTTCGTAGTAACTGAAAAAGCCGCGTGAATTTTTATTATGAAGTTTTTATATTGCTTTGAGCAGTGATGGGCTTTTGCGTGCGACTCTCGTCCCTGAGGTCGTAGGTTCGATCCCTGGCCGTGCACCAATGGACTTTCTTTCTATGTGCGCATTTAACATTCGCTCGAACGGTGAAGGAAAACATCGCGTGGAAGCCGGCTCGCCTTAGACCCAAAAAGTCGACGGCGTGTATCAGGCACAGGAGGCTGATCACCTACTTGTCTAGTTAGATTGACAAATGATCATGAAACAGATCTAGAAATCTGATTTATTTTTTAAAGTTTTTATATTACCATGCACATCCTATCTCATCTTGACAAAGGTCTGTAGAGTATGTAGAGAATGTCTCGCAGCCGACACGAACATTTGTAGCTACAAAGGTAAGTGAAATTTATTTTCATTTACAATTTTACAACTCTCACAAACAATAGAATAGCACATAAAGCCAGTCAGGTGGTGAATTTATTGTTATTACCTAGAACAGGACTGTTTTCTAGTTATCTCATTTAAATAATACTATTAAACGTTTAATTAAAATAAATACTCAAAACGCCTATAAATTCTTTATTGAACGATGTGCTGTGCATTTATATTAACAAGAAAAGATTTTTTTAATACATATTTTTACTGAGATATCATGGAACATTACGATCTAGCCTGACTTCAGACTAATAAGTTATTTAAGTCTAGCCTAATTAACTAAAAGGATATTTACCATAAGTGTCCAATTACACTACTTACAATCTCTCTTAAGGGGAAGACTCTGTTCTTGTGTACTATTTTTTCCACTTACCACTGTTTAACACTTAAGCTTAACGTGCGCTCCCACTAATTCAAATGGTTTTGTCCTTTTCAATCTTCTCACTAGGCCTTTGGTGACAAGAATTTGAATTGCCTCGACATTCACGTGACGGTGGAGCCTCTGTTCGTGGGCTCCAGAAGTCTTTTTTATAATTGTGGTGACGTCCTCTACATCAAGGTCCCGATGGAGATCGTTATTGCGAATGTATCAGGGATCACTGACTACTCCCCTGAGCGCTTTGTTTTGGAATCGTTGGGGAAAAAAGTAGGCACGTGTTTATTCAGTACAAGTTTGAGAGGAAGAGGAATATATTCGTTTTAATCTGTTTCCGTTGTAGATTGTTAATTTTGTTATTAAAATAAGTTAAGCGCACCGTAAATGGTCTTCTTTTGAACCATTAAAGGTTTATGGTTTGTACATTTTATAAAGTGGCTCGCAGGGCCGCGCCGCCCATGTGTGCGAAGTGTGCGGTGACAAGGCGCTAAGACAATGAGGGCCGCCACCGAAATTATTTATGTTACACTACAATATTCTTACGTACGTTTGAAGTGTCATTTTAGCTTTGGGTTTTAGTTTACGTTAATTACTCAAGAGCTTAGCGAATCAAAAGAAAGGCGGGTGAGTTTTTGAGTGTGTCTGTCTTATGATTTCTTTTATATGCACATACCTTAATAAAATCCAAAATGAAGTAATTTTTATACTCGGTAACCAAATTCAACATTTTATTTTAAATTTATGTCGAATTAATAAATATTTTTCAATAATACTGGATTGTACTCCTGACTTTCATACGAAGAGCAAATTAGTATGATAATAAGGTTTGTCAATTTAAACATGGAAACTATAAAGTTGGAAATAAGAGAGCATTTCCTTGCTTTCTGTCCAATTAAGATTGACAACTGGGCTGGAGTAAGTCATTTATAATAGAAAAATTAAACGAAATTAATTTGGGCATAAACAATTTAAGGGGACAAGGCTATGATAATGGCTCAAATATGGCGGTAAGAATATTGCTGGATTTAAATCAGCTTTTATGTACTGTGGCTAGAATAGTTTAAAGTTAATAGTAAACAGCTGCCAACCTCAATTATCACATGACTGGATTTTTTTAATATTGTGAAGAATTATATAAATATTTTTCGTCCTCTACTAAAAGATGGGACTTATTTTAAAAATATGTCATAAATCTGACCTTAAAAAACAGTTAGATATAATAACATAATAAATAAAGTATGTAACAATTTAATTCACTTTTGGTATTTTTAGCAATTAGAAGCGGACGGACCGGACCTACTTAAGAAAATATTATTTAAGTAATTATATTAAACTAAAGAACATTTTTTTCGGTCAAAATTGACAAATAATAGAAAATACATTGAAACTTGAAGAAAAAATAGGTCGAAAACCTCAAATAAGGCTCAAAGGCCGGCAATACACCCACTAAAAATGTCTATGGGCTGGATGACTGCCCTTTTTGGTCGTCCCGCAGGCTGTTTGCCCCCTATAAAAAAATAGGAGGTTCATGGTTTCGAAGGGTGCGGGGGTGGGGGCTGGGGTGTGACGCTTGCAAATTGTTTGCATAAAACGTAATTCTCGCTTTAATCCTGGCAATTGTTTGAACAATAGAACTAGAAACGCGCGAGTTTTATTGTGGCTGAGAGCTTTCATTTTTCCTGTGCTCAATTAGCATATTTATAATGTGTTTAACGTAGCTTTTATGTAACAAAAGCTATTTTGTAACTTAAAATGTATTGTTATGGAGTTGTGCTGATTTGTTTAATTACTTAAATCCTTATTAAAACTTAATAAGCAGAATGGTAAGGGTTCATGTATAGCGAGACCTAATGGATGCTGATAGACGATCGTATGATTGGTAAGCTTAGTAATATCGCGATGGGGTTACGATTTCTAACTTTCTCAATTTGTCCGATACTATCAAGTATGTATGACTATTGAATCATCGAGACTTGTCACTGAATAACAGAATATTTATAAAATATAACGACTGATTCGGTTTTAAAAATATTCCTCAAAAGCAAGCACATTCGTACTGATCAAAATTTTACGTTTGTCATAAACATTCCCAAGTCTTTATTGTTGTTTTTAATCAAACCGCGACGCGCATTTGTTTTATAATTTTGTGTCCCCTTTTTTACGATGACCCTCCACGTCCGATACCATTTGGTACACGAAGCTTACGATAAAGTGTTGCCGTAAACCGTCAACCTAATCCCATTTTATTGCCAATACAGATTGGTTTACGAGATATTCGTAAAGTCCTTAACAGGGAAAGTGGGTCACTGGCCAAGGCCCGTCAAGTTACGTCAAAAGGTAGGAAACACTCGACACAATATCCTACATATATTACTCGCTTGGATCTTGATCTGTTAAGAATTAATCATACCTACTACGTTTTTAGTTCACGAGTGAAGAAGCAAAGCGAAGAGACAGCCATAAACTAAAGTCAGAATTTCTAAACTTTTCAGGTGGAAACAACGTACAAAGTACATAAGCTTCGACTTCAATTTATTCCCAAAAAGTTGCAGCGTATGCACGCGGGACAGGTATGCGCCTTACGTTGTCATGACGAAAGACCGCGGGTATTCGCTAGTGCAGCTTGGGACAACACTTTAAGGGTAAGAAAACGAATAATATTTATTAAACGAAATCGCCAAGCCACGTGTAACGTAACGGTTTACGGGTTACGTTATACGTTATAAAAGTTAAAAATGATATATTGTCTCATTGAATCGCAAGACAGTATAAAAACATTCCGCGAAGCTTTGCTTAATGAAACCTAAACGTATATGTGATATGTATGTTGACTTAAACCCTTGTAAACAAGTTGTAAATGAAATATGGCGAACCACCGCTGGTCTCTGTCGAGATTAAAATATTTCAGCGAGTTATTTAATTATTTACTAAGTTCTCCTTTTGAGGGCTTAGCGCGCGTCACAAAGAATCGTGTTCATTGTTTATTTTAAAGCTGGTTACAGACAGAATTCACTCAAAAATTAATGTTTATCTTTCATTTTCTAGATGGCATACGTTAAAAATGTTTCATGTTATTATTTGATTCATATATCGTACAACAGCAATTAATTGACTTGCAACTATTTATATTATATTTTAATTAACTTAAATAATAATAATACATTTAAATGATTGAAGTGATAACATAAGATTAATTCTACTGTGAAAAAAAATATTTAAACCCGTATTTGAATTATGACAAATTCGATTTGTTCCAATCATATATTTTGCTTTTAACGGATTTAGTTACATTTAGATTCCGATTTCTATATTTTTACTGAAAATAATTTTCGAAAATAAATAATATGCGTGTCTAAAACAGCCTAACAGCCACGGTGCATTTTTAAATGAATATGAGTCGGTGGAATGTCGTTTTTGACGGGCTTTGTGGATAAAATAAAACATGTTCATTTGAATCCCTGTGATGTATAAATATTGTTTAGGTATAAATTCTTTAGTTAAAATTCATTGAAATGGACGTTATTATTTTCTTTATTTGTATTTAGTATATTTACATAGGTTTATTATTTGTTAAGTCACTTACCTATTTTGTTATTTAAAAGTGCGCGTGATTTGACTGTGACGTGATTCGTGAAGATTTTTGTTCAAAATCGTTAAAGTAATTCCACAGATTACTTCTTATAAATAAACTCAGCTGGAAACTACATCTTTATAATATTTTAAATTGTGTCAAATTGAGACATTCTTTTTATTCTTAGAGAGACTTCATAGATGTAATATATTTTTTTAATATTCTCAATTCGTGTACTAGGAAATATTTTAGTTAATTATCTCGAAGGTAATTCATTTATAATTACCATCACAGGATTCCATCGAACTTAAATCTGTTCTCAAACCGTGAGAAAAGTATTTTTCCTCTATAATAAGATACGAGTACCTATGTGATAATGTGTAAGAGGTAAGGTCATATGAATTACTAATAAATAAAATATCTGTTTAATAGTTTTGTTTTATAATGTATAGTTTAATTTGTAACATGAGGTGTATTGTGCTAATCATAATGATTATTTATATATTTACATATTTATAAGTAATCTGCTTCGGATATACAATTATACAAGAAAACACTTAGACAATATACAAAGCCCCAACAGATTACATTTTTTTTAATTGATAAAAGCTTGCCAACGCTCGGCACACTGATACATTGGTAAAAGAACCATAAAATACAAATTTTTAATGTGACAAGCACTTAAAGGCAAACATGACATACATGTAGAGATCATACAAATATTAATCAAAACAATTATTAAACAAAACAAACATAAAAAAAACAATTACTAATCAAAAAAATTAAAATTACAAAAATCTATATTAAAGTGTGAGGAGAGAAACTATGGATATCCAGATCTAGCTCTAGATCTAGCTCTAGATCCAGATCTAGATCTGATAAACATCAGAATGCTTAATTTGGACATCGGTGAGCTTTGACCAAAACACGTTCTTCGGAAAGCAGGGACAAATGGAATAATGGGATGCCTGGGGTATCGAGAGGGTACACGAAACTTAAATTTAAATAGAAGGTCCTGGCAATCAATCTGATTATTAAATATCTTAGCTGCAAACGATATATGAATTAATTTTCTGCGATTCTCCAATGACAACATCTTAAAGTGCGCCAGCCTGGTTTCGTACGTTGGCAACTTTTTTCCGTTGTTAATCAAAACATAAGAAAACAGAAGTCAATTAAGCACATTAAAAAAAAATTGAACTGAAACTAAACATAACATATTGACAACTTAATATTTTAAAGAAAAAATAAATTGTAACTTCTGCTAAATAAAGTCAAAGTCTTCCCGCTTCTTAAAATATTTCCTTTCCTTTGGTAAGGTGGAAAATGTCTACATCTTCATAAATTGTATTGTAGTTAGCGAAGACCCGATACATTGGCGAATTACGCAGATAGTTCGTGTTTGTACGAGGCACGTGGAATAATTATTGTGAATATCTTGTCACATACATTTAATTAAAACTTTAATTCAAGGTGTGGGACACGAGATGCCCCGTCGGTTGTGTCGCTACCTTTGAAGGAGTCGACGTCTGCAGCGATAGCATTGATATAAATGTAAGTAATAATAATAATAATAATTTGTAGAAGCAACCACTATGAAACTGATAGTTAATTACACAATCTTAGATTATGTAGACCCTTTGGGCAATAAGGCAACTTTTATTTATAGACGAGTCGATTTTTTGGCTAAGTGTTTCCTAACTGTGCACGGTGTGCCGAGAGTAACTGGTATTTACATTACTTGCATACACTATTTTACTAAAACATCAGTATATTCATATATTTTATTTAACTTTATGCTGTTCTTAATATTTTTTATTTGAAAATTGTCTAGCATTTAAACGTGCGCATAATATGTCCAACCACTTCGACTTAAGAACCTGTAAGAAAAGAGCAAATTCAAATTCAAAAATCATTTAATCATATGGGTAACACATTTTACACTTATGACTTGTCAGTAAAGAAATACATATTAATGCTTCTAATTTTACATTTAGTCCCAGTTCTCAAATCAAGGGCGTGTAACAATTCAGTATGTGAAGCCTTCTGCAGTGTTTGGGACCATGGCCACTCAACATCGGGTTTGCCTGCGCGTTTGCCCCCTATAAAGTTGTAATTATCAAATGCACACGGGCAAAATACAACGTATTAATAATGAAAATCTCGCAAAATATTTTTTCTTAAAAGTCTAGAACTTTTCTAGGTCATCTTTGAAAGTGTAGTGAAGAGTTAGAAACCAATTAACATTCTTTGTGAATTGTTATTTGAGAATTCGTGAGGGTATATTATTCTTGGGTTTATAATTCTAACAGGCCGACCTTTAAATATACAGAAAAGTTGAACATTTCTAGTTGTCTAGACTCATTAATCGATTTAATTAATCTTTAGCTGTTTATTACGTAGAACATAACAGACTAGGATCGCTAAAACAATTACTATATGAGGATTTCTGTTTAATAACTTCAGCAATCACATTTGCATTTAAGACCCTTAAGTAATTAGGCTTTGTGTCGATCGTGGAAATAATATGTTGAAGTTAAAGCGCTTGGTGCTTAAGCCACAAATCTGGGTTAACTACTAATCAACGGACATTGGTTTAAATTTTAATATCATATAGGTATTATACTTCCATCGGTTTTCAACAAAAAATGACTGTATTCGAGTTTCCGCACTTAGACGCTCATTTGGTGCGTTGTGCGTAAAACAAGAAAAAAATTAATTTTGTCCATAAAAAGCCAATAATATAACAAATTAACATTGCTAAAATGATATATTCATAGTCTTAGTATAGTATATACATACATATATAGTACCTAAGGCGATTTTTGTCACTAGTATACAAGTGCTTTTATACATTTGAGTGAGATTTAGAAGTGAATATGGATTTTTAGAATTAATAAAAAAAGTAGGGCAAAGGTGAATTTGTTGCGTCATAGGCCTATCCTAATAGCGTTTACGTGTCGAAAGTTTTGAGATTAATCGAAAAATATGAAATTTTGCGTGGTACATGAAAACGGGTGATAAATGGATCGTGTTATTAATTTGCCAGTTCTGTATTCATGTCAGACGAAAATTTATACACTTTCCGACACATTGAATGGCGTGAGGCTGGAATTATGATAGGATCTTTTAACTAGGCGACCTAAAATATTTTTCCCAATCCGGGGGCCGCATCAACAAAATATTGTTTCTTTCTAAACTCCAATTCGTGTCAATTCTTAATCCTATAACAAAAGTTTTATTTTAGAACCAAACAAAAATATGTAAAGTTCTTTTGATTATTGACTCATGTAAGTAATATTCAATAAGGAAAGTGTTATGGGTAATGCTTAACTTTATATAAGACTAAATTTTCATGGTAATTGTGAGCCTATAAAGTAAAAATAACTAGTTATCTATGGCTCGGATTTGAAAAATATTATGTACTATCGCAAAATGTTCTAACAACATTAAATAAACAGTTTTTATATTTCAATATTATGTATTATAATGACATTTAATTGTTAAACGTTTATTAGGTTTTTAGGATATTTTTGAAATTGAATGATAAAGGTCTTATAGGTGCGCGAGAGGCGAGCACCATATAATAATAGTTTCTAGGCTAGGCAGTGGCCGCAGTGGGAAGACAAAGAAAACTTATTTACGTCTAAAGTATATATAATTATTACAACGTATACAGAAGGAACAAAGTTAACAAATGATAAGAGTTGTAGCACAATAAGAGAAAAGAAAGCGTTAAGACAAGAATAGATAAACTATAAGTCACTAAGGGATAATTCGTAAATCGCGCACGGGTTTCGCCTTTGACAGTTCTGAACGTACTGCTCGCTGGTCGCGCTGCCACTGGCTTCAGGCTCCACTCACCGCGCCCGTGTCGTCACACATAGCGGTAAAATCACCGACGCGGTGGAAAAGAGGAGTGATATTATTGTTCGCCACAGTCTTATTAGGCTTCATTTCGTGGGAGTTTTAAATATAGCGCGACGAAATGTTGGAATAATATCCCTCCTCCGTTAAAAAATCTTCATATCTTTAAATTTTCGTCGCAGTTATAAAACAATTAAACGAAACGATACCTAGTTTTTAATCCGCCCAAAAGTATTTATTAATCTATTTCTTAACAATTATTCTTATTTTTATTTTATTTACTATATACTTATACACAAGACTTCATTACGTACACTGCTAACTTTTACTAATTTTTTTTTCCTTCTACTAAGTATTAGTATTATTACATTATTTTTCTTTTTTTGCGACTAAGGGCTCTATGACCAGCGCTGTGGAACAGTCTGCTCCTTAGAATAATGCTGAGCCAGTATCAATATCAACTACAGCACACACGCATTACACACTAAAATTACACACTAGGATATGAAACAATGTTTTATATATTTTTTGTGTAGATTATAATATTTATCAAGCTAGATTCGTTCTACGGATTAAGAAAATAATTAAATTCCTTCGAATCGAATCATTAATCTTATTTCTACAAGGTTGAAACTGTTCCTATTTGCATATGAACCGTGCTTGAATTCAACAAAATCGATAATAACATGCTACCGCTGTCCCCTATTAATACTATTGCTTGCTAAGTCGGAAGTTGATTTGTCTAAAAATAAATTTAATAATACCTATAACGTAAGTTGTTAGTTTGGAAATAGTGAAAGTCTTCGATCGGGTATGGACTTCTCATGAAGAAAATATGCAAAGTTTTTTTGTCGATCGGAGCCTTAAATTCGCTGTCGACGGTATATACTTCGATCGGCCAATCGAAATCGCAAAGCCGTAATTGCATACCAATTATATGTTGGAGTAGGGACTTATTCATTGCCGTGTATTGAAGATACCTTTTTTACCGGTCGTGTTAATATTTCGCGGGTTGTTATCTAGCAGTGTCGGATGAAATTGTTACAGAAATCGAGACCCTATGGTAAGATTAAAAATAGCATTGTGAAACTACCACATACTTATGTTGCGAAAGTGACCACATTAAGGCGAAAACTAAGATCACCGATGCGCTAACCCACGCCTTATTGCTGAAATGGAAATGGGCAGGGCATATTGCAAGGTTTACTTATAATAAATGGACCGCCGAAGCCGTTGGAGGGTCCTCCCAGAAAATAGAAACGTGGGAAGACCACAAAAGCGATAGGCTGACGACATGGTTAAGGTTTCTGAGGAAAAAGGATGGAGGAAGCAAAGAAAAGAGCCAAATAGAAACTTTAGGAGGAAGCCTTTACCCAAAAGGGTTCCATACTGCGGAACATGAAGTAATGGAAATAACAATAATTAAAATATACTAAGTGTATCATAACTTGATATTTAATTTTGTAAAAGTATGGAATTAATCTGGCTTTATTATTATTATTTATGTTGTGAAACGCCGTTATAACATAGTCTATATGAAATTCATATTTTTATTATTCATACGTCACAGATGCTTCGTAGATTTCTGAGCGTTACATTATGAATACCTAACATCTCATGCCTTTAAACAGGATATAGCGATGTTAACAATTTTATCATAGTGACATAATCTCGTAGATTAAGCGCTGGTACGTCGGTTTTTTTCTTGTTAACTCATCACGGGTAAAATACGTTACATTTGAGACAGAGCAATTTTAATTAAAAACTCTTTGTGAAGTACGTGGTCGGGTTTCAACCGATGCCGTTATAACTTTGATACTCATAGTTGTACTCTTTGAGGTACTTTATTTTTAATACTTTTCATTAAGGTCCTCCTCGTAAAGTTGTACCTTGTTTTGGAAAATTAATTTCGGTAAACTTTGCCCTCTGAGTTGGCAGTCTTTGTTTAGATGGCGAGATCATATTACGATTTATATAGAGTAAATGTTCTATTATATATATTTTTATTACTTGATCCCTTAGTTTTAATCGCCTACGTTAAAGTAGGTTTTATTACAATTAATGTATTTTAGAGGGACCATTGCGTAGTTGGAAGCTGGCTACCCACAGAAGCCTTAACGGTCTGGGATATAGTGGCCAGAAAACGGCTGAATATCATCCGGGTGCAGAACCGGAGACCAAATGTCGATGGTGAATTTCTCTATGCATGTCGCTATTGGAGATCTTCAGAGGTAGACTATTAATTCTTAGACCCCTATGTTATAAGTTTGTTGTAGAAATTGTTTTACAGCTCATAAATTGTATCCATGTTAGAAATGATATAAATCAAGTATAACGCACAGTATTCGGCTATTCATCTAAAAACCCTCGTACTCTCATTAATTAGCTATTTTGGTGTTTCAGTGCATAAACATTATACAACGAGTAATTGGTATTATGCGTGTTGTTAGATTTTTAGTCTGGAAACAGATTTCATAAATTTAGTGAGAAAAGCAACAAATTCATAGTTAAGTTTGGTGGCGGTTGTTGTATGGGTATTTTCAGATATATATGAAATGAAACACTTTGTTTGAATCTTGTTCAAAACAGAAGTTTATATATAACTAAGATAACGTTAGGGGTTGCGACGCTGGATTAACAAAAAAACTAACTTGACTTATTGAAGAGTTCGTAAATATAAGTGACACTTAGTTTATTGGACATTATCGGAAACCAGAATGGTAAATTACAATTTATGAGTGTGGGAAAAACAAAGGCCCGGCGCCCATTATCGGCATCGGTACGACTGAGGATTTTAGGTGGCAAATAGCAATATACTATAACATAATGGCAATAAAGTAGAAATTTCCGTGATATGTGGTCGTAATAACAAAAATACCGCTTTGGTATGCTTGAGGCTGGTGTATCGGCAACCTTGAAAATGCAACCTTCAATACGCCGCCGGCGCCGAGGCAACACTCGGGGGATAGCTAGCTTGTAACAACTCTGAGACTGTTATGATGAGAAATACGATATTGAGACGCTTCGGCAAGCTACAGGACGGTGCGGCATCCTTAAGGACGCTTCGTCATCCCTAAGAACGTTGCAGCATGCCAAAGCATAATTGCCGATAGTGTGCGCTTGCATGTAGGATGCCGAAGGATCCTTTTCCTTGCCGATGCCGATAATGGGCGCCGGGCCTAAAGGGCTCGTTTTGGCTTAAAGTCAGCGATGATTGTTTACATTTTGTTTACGCTTTTAATTATTAACTATTGTTAGGTTTCATAACTCAGGATAGGAATTAAATGTGTATCTAATACAGTGCTTTATGTGGTGAAGTAAGGCAGCATATATTTAGTTGGCTTTGTATTAATACCACCATAGCGATGTATACAGAATAAACATTTATATTAATGCTCCTCTAAGGGCAGACTTTGAGGTTTCTCCTTTGTTTTCGTTTAATTCCCAAGCAAAACAGTTAAGTTCGTATTGATGAAATTCAAAAGGTGTTTCTAAAGGGTTAGAACAAGAGATAACGTTTTTGTTATATTGATTTTATAGTTTATAAAAACGTTAAAGATTTTCTTACTTTTGGGAGGTTTGAAAGATTTTTGAAACCCCTTGTTCGTATTCAAACCGTAATTTATGTTGTGACCTATTATGATCTTAGTCTAACGAAATAACTAACCTACCTAAATATCAGTGATACCTTTCCAAATCTCTGTTTATTTATTATTAAGTCTACTAATTTTGTCTCGTTCAATTTTAACCATGACGACATATGAACAACAACTACAGTTCTAACGCTTCATGTCATAGTATTGTATTTACATTATTTTAACCTAAGAGAGATTAAAACTTTTGAAAAAAAAACAAATGTCTCAACGTCCGAAATAGGATAAAACTAGGTACTTCTAGTGTACCTTTTAATTAAAAACGACGTTCTAGTGTTGCATCGATTTCTTAGTTTAGTGGCGACTGAAACCAAAATTATTTTAGGAATATTTGCACTTTCCTTTTGAATATATTATCACTATCACTACAAAATAAACACAAATTTGGTAGAAATAAACGAGTATTAAAAAATTACCTAAAATCCTATATTAACTAATATGTTTCCAGTACAATCGAAAAGGTAAATACGCTATAATTGGCGGCAGCGGAACCAATTGCGTGGAAGTGATCAATCTTCACAACCGATACATTACTTGTTCCTACCCCGTTTCTGGTACAGTTCTCGCCATAACAAGCTACAAGGAACGCATAGCGTTCGGAGGGACCGCACCCGTCCTGAGCATTGTCTCCTTCCACGACCCCAAGCATGAGAAATACGGTGAAGTGGAGCCGGAGTATGAATTTACGAAGGGCGAAAGGTATTTTTCTGACAGTAGTTCAGAAATATTACCAAATCAAGATGTTACGAAGTTAGCGAAGGCTTCGTCTATCAGTGCGCCTGCAATGGCTGTCAAGTCTTCTGTGAGTCAAAAGCTGAAGTGAATTGATTGAATAAAATATGTATTTTGGAGGTTTCATTATAAATAGAGCAAACTATAGAATATCAATAGTAATATTGATATTCTATAGTTTGGAATTGATAGAAAAAAAAGCAAAAGATCTTTTTTCATTTCTAAAAAACATGTTGGATATAGAGTGAGATATGTAGTGGCTTTTGATAGTAGGTTTGCTTAGGAAACCCATGTATCGATCCAGAACGCTTGATGATGCGGCAAAAAATAACGGCCTGCCCAATTTGAGGAAGCACGCAAATTGCTCATCACTGGCGAAGTAATCTCTTTTAATTTCTACAAAGAGGAGGTTGTATATTTACGATATTGCCGACGTCATTGGCTCGTTTTCAATACTTTTATAACCCCAAGTGCTCGTTTCTCTTAATTGAAAATGTAAATAAAAATTCTCATTCAATTGCAACTAATACATTTTATTTTCTACTAAGGGAGCGTTCAAGTACATATTACGTAAAGCAATTTTTGAAGATTATTGACCCCCCCCCCATGTAACTCGCCGTAACGTTATTCAGTACCCAAGTACAGTACTGTACCCAAGTATAGTAAAACGTTTCGTGACCACCTAGTGACTCTTTAGTTACTATTATGTGGTGTAAGTCGAAAAAAATATTAACAATAACGCGTAATTCAATCCCCGCCCCGCATCGTAACGTTTTACAAATGGACCCCCCTCCCAAAATACGTTACGTAATACTTGAACGCTCCCTAAATAGAAATATCGTATAAAATTAAAGTCGATGGATACTATGAGAACAAGTTGCAATAGAATTTAAATAAAGAAAGCCTTCGGTAACAGCGCGAACTCGTGTGCGAGGCGGTGGTGAACTTTCAACTTTTACCCGCTTTTGTCGGGAACTACCTGTCCCCACACCGCCGCGGGGAGGGAGGCGCTTTCCGTACTTGGACCGAATATTTACAGCGCAACCTAAATATAGCGTGCCGCCGCTCAGCTGGCACGGCTGGGGAGGAGTAAACACTCCGCACCCCGCACCCGCGCCTCGCTGGAAGGCTATTCTAGCGTTAGCTGCCGCGTCGAGCGGACGTTCCTGATTCGAGCGGAGGTCGTAGCGCGGCCATGACCGTTTCAAGTACAGGGGTAGTTGTTCGCAGTAGCTAAACGCTCTCAAGGTTATGATGCTATAAAAGACTATACAAACTTTACGGCACGGCTGCATTTTATGAGAACATTATTTACGTATTCCTTCACAGATTAGGGAAGAATTACTAAATAGGCTGGGGCGGTTTAGGGATTGTTAATTTTAGATACTCATTCTCAGATTATATTTTAATTGGCTTATACCTACCAACTTCAGAGAATAGTTAATAAGAGGGATTATGATGGAATTCGTAGTTAACTGTTATTTTAGATATTTTTAGCACGGGTGTCTAAAATTCAGGAAAACGTTAAACGTATAGGGACTTAGATACGTAAATAACGCTTCATGCCGCACTGCAGATTACGATTTACCACGCTATTTATACGTACCTCTGTGATTAACGCATATGATGTATACACCGAAGAATTTGGTTTCAACCTGTTAGGCATAGGAAGTTGTTATTATTAAATCACTTTAGAAAGCACAAAACCAAAACTTTATGCTACGTTACTTTTGCCTAATCAAATTAATGCGTTTTCATTCAACAGCCTTAAAAAACTGCGTACCTATATGCGCAGTTTTTTTTAAGTTTGATATATGTTCAAATCATAATTCGAATCTTTATGTCAGTTACGTTCATTTTTACGAATACAAAATAAGTTCCTTCGCGTCTCGAGCGTCTGAGCACAAATTGGTACAACTTTACGGAGCCATTCTATATAAACCCTTAAATCCTGATAAGTTATCTTCAGAATTTTCCCAGAAATGAATTTCATGAAGTAATGAGGGTACACGACTCAGGATATCTTATCGGATTACTCGTATTAAAGACGCTGTAATGAAACGTTAAGAATACTGGCTTCGTCAAGTAGAGAGAGAGTGAGATAAAAAGTCGACGAGTCTAAATTTATATTACAATCTCTATGCCATAGACTAATTGTGTATTTCGTATAGAATATACTCGCGAATATAACGGAATAAACAGTAGGTACTTACTTATACGGAGCTGGACATATTCGGTAGGTAGTGATCGATGTAAAAATAAAACCTAGGTTGGTTTTATTATCCGCGGTTTTCCTAGTATTTTTTTCTTATTTATTTATTTAGTTATTAACTTTACGGCATTATACATAGTACTAAATCTACTGATTATTTTACAAAAACTTCCATCTAAAATGTATGACAATTAAAGTAAACATAAGTTTTACAAAAAAATAGAAATAAAAAAAAACAATTAAAACATAAACAAGATAATATAAGCATACAATAAAATAAAATAAAATAATTAGAAATTTGTTGGTACTTAAAGCAGAAAAAAAAGGAAAATCATCAGTAAAACAGCGAATTAGGTCCGAGAAAGGCACCCCACAACGCTTTCTCTAAAACCGATCAGCCCACTACCGAATATATCCAGCTCCGGATAAGCTGTGTTCAATCCATTAAAATCGCGAAGAATTCGAACGAGAGGTGCCTGAACTCCTAGGTTGGTTTTGGCAGAAGGAATTTGGAAAATATTGCTGATTTTAGACCTAGGGAATTAATAAGGGACGACAATTTTAATATCCTAAGAAAAAGTAAGAGGTCACTGCTCTGTATATGATTATTTAGCAATTTATGCGCAGAATTGCCCCCCCCAGAATACGAAGGGCAGCCTGTGATTCTCCACCGCGAGCGCGTGTGGTACCCCCTTGGGGTAGATTCTGTTTTTTCTGCACCTTCATATTTCTTGTGGGGGGGGGGATGGGCTCCGGGAATCTCTCTCACCGCACGAAACACGAGTACAAGAAGGCGAACCTTTTGCATCACTTCACGCCGGTTTTCTGAGAGACAGTGGTACTGCCCCGGTCGTGCCTGCCCATTTGGCTGAAGCCCGAAGGCAACAGCATGGCACTCCCACTAGAAAGTGGGAAAGTCTTTTACATTTTCTTTACTTATATTAATTATAACAGTACACATACGGATGATAGGTTTATAATATTAGCTGCATTAAAGAATGTATTATTATAAAATGGTCTGCTTAACTGGTAACTGGTAGCTAAGAATGTAAATCGTAGTAAAATATTTGTTAAGCTAAAGATTGGTGTTTATTTTTTGTTTAATAAAACCGGGTATCAACAGAAATAATAAAGGACAAAGCGGTATTGTGTGCCCTACAATAATGAGGTTTTTATTATTTCGCCTTAAATTGCTTTGCTTAGGGCGTCATTACATATATTTTTTTATAATTTAAATACTCATAATAATGCTCGAAACCTCAGAGATTTAACTTTTTATTTACATATGGGTTATTATTATATTTTTATATGTGAGATGTATAAAACTACGTATCTGATATGAATTTTATTATAAAGTGTGATTGATCTACAACATATCACAAGATATAAATTGCAGTTAAAATATTTTGACTTTAACTCATTTCAAACCTAGATAAATATATTTAATTTTTCGAGATTATTAAAACCAAAATATAAATATGTAATAGAACTTATATTTTCAATATATTATGTCGATTAAGTTATAAACAAAGAATACAACATCAATATATTATATTTATAAGTTATTTGACAGCTATTCCGGGCGTGATATTCTTAACTCTCAAGCAGCTGTCATCTTGAACATGTCCATGACCACTAGCCTCGACTCTACACTTAAAAAGGCTTTGTAGAAATTTTTTTATCACAAAAGGTAAAATTGTGTCTTATGTTATTAATTAAAGATTTTATTTTACCTTATACGTATTTCAGTTATAAAACTAAAATAAAATGAACAACTATAAATTGCGAGTAAGCATTAGGTTTAGTGGTTTTGGGTACAGTGGTCATGCCGGTGGATTTGTATCATATTTAGCTTTCTATAAGTTACTTAAAATGTAAAACTCAAAATAAAAATTATAACGTAAACTAAAAATAGCAGTAGTGAAAATTGCAAAGTGCGATATTCCGGGAGTGGGTCGTAGAGGGACGTAAGCGGGCGTAGCACCGTAGCACCGTAGCTGCATCGATCCGGGCCGTGACCTTGACCTGGCTTCCCGGATGTGCTCGCCTAGTTGCGCCATTGTCGCTTATACAAGCTAGCTTTTATTAGCTCGGATTTTATTTCGCACCCTCCTTGATTTAATGCGAACGATTGTTCGTAGCGCTTATTGAATAGCGTTACGAATGCTTTATTACTTTGGGTGCTACAATCTTTTTTTATTGCAAAAAAGGTACTACTATGTAAGCACGATAAACTACGAAATAGTAATATAGTGCAGGCAAGACATTACCTGTGAAAAGTGAATCCCGTACAATAGTTGGAAGCGCTCATCGCAATGGCTGAACCCAGCCGAACAAGCCAAATCGTGCCCCAAGCGAAAATTGACTCAAAAAAAGTTATTTGTGAGCGTTTAGTGGACTAGTGCCGGGGTCATTCACTATAACTTTTTTAAATCTGGCCAGACGATAACGGCAGATATCTATTGTCAGCAACTGCAAACCAGGATGGAATAGCTAGCTGCTAAACAACCAAGGCTGGTCAATCGCTCTAGGCTTGCACAAATTAGATGGCAAAAGATTACCTAAAAGATGTCAAAAGTACATAGATAGCAATGGTACCTACTTTGATTAATTAAATATATTATATATTAAAAAAATTACTTTTTGTTTCTCCCATACAAAACGCCAATTTCATATGTAAGGGACCTAATATTATTCGTAAAAAATATTTTTCTCGTAATCACATTAGTAGCAATATTTGTGTAATAATTTACGCATACCACCAAGTTTGTTTTAAATTTATGTTTCCATATAAGTTTCGCATAGAACTAAAGCAAAATGAAAATGGATAACACAAGAAGGCGAAATATAACTTTTCCCAATTCCCGAGGATATCGTTTTGTCAAATAAGTCTCATAATATTGACATGGGTTGGATATTGATATAATGCATATGGAGATTTGTTTTGTCCTATATAAGTCAATTGCATTCCTAAATTTTGCGTCATTACTTATACAAACATTTTCAATTTACAGTACAAGATCAAAAGAGATTATTATGATTACAGTTTAAAATAAAAGCTACGACAATTGTGTCACGGTGATAAAGTTGAATGTAATGTTCAGTCCGTTCAGCTGTCTTTACCGTATACAAAAATACATAACGGCAATTATTATTATGGGAATTAGACCTTATTTTTGAGTGGATAGCGTTAGTATTTGAATGGGCCTTACTCGGTCCATTGTAGGCAGCCACATAATTTTTGGTTAGATGGTAAACCAAATACCTTTGTTTCATGTCTACGCAACGGGGTTCCTGATCGTTCGCCGGTTAATGTATTTTAAATGAAATATTCAATTATGCATGTACATGGGAGCAAAGGTAGGTACGGGTAAAAATTAAAGAGAAGGATGAAATTTTTATGCCTCACAGAATTCACCTTGTTCAAATAATTTATTGGTGTATTTCAGAGTTAATATATATTTCAACAGCGGAGATTGTTTGGTAAGGTTTATGATTGCTATTTTTGGACGATATCGAATAACCTATTGAAACGATAATAATTATAATAAAAATGACTAAACAAAAAAATTAGAAATAAATGAGCTCACCCCAGTTATTTCTGTTAATTAAGTGTAGCATACATCAATAATATTTATCGATATCCTATGTAATAAGCCAGATATTTGTAAAAAAATCACCTCAAAACGAATTTGGCTCTATTCTACATGAATTCGAGGTTATAAAAAGGCTTTTAGTCTCGAAAAAACTACCTTCCTTTATTACCGTGTTCCCTTGAGCAACCAATTTGTTACATTAAAACGTGGTCCCTTGTTTACTGACGGTAGGGCGACCCTTCTCAGGTAAAGGTGTTTTATAAATAACCAAGAGTCAACTATCAGGTATTAATTATATCTAAATATAAGGAAGATTTATCCCTTTATGACTTTGTTATTAGCAAATTGTGATAAATTAAATATTTCACTTAAAGATTGTTTATATATTATATTTGTATGTATGTGAATGCAGTGCTGGCCTAGTGCCATGAGCGTGCGACTCTCATACCTGAGGTCGTAGGTTTGATCCCCGGCTATGCACCAATGG